AATCATGCTATGTCTATGTCGACGACGTAATTATTTTTTCAGAAAATATGCACGAGCATGTGAAACACATAGCATGGGTCTTAGACTAATTATATGAGGTCAACATAAGAGTTTCGCGTGAGAAATCTAATTTTTTTAAAGAAAATGTATAGTTGCTAGGTTTTGTGGTTTTTCGCGGAGGCATAAGAAAATGCCCTAACAAAGTAGACGCAATCCATAACAACGAACAACCGACCACACTATTTAATGTCAGATCATTTCTAGCTAGTTACTATAGGTATTTTATTAAAGACTTTGCATCTATTGCAAAACCTATATGTGACATCCTAAAAGGAGAAAATGGCAAGGTCAGTTCAGGACAATCAACGAAAATACCTGTTAACTTTGAACAAAGAGGCAAAGTTTCATAATCGAGCTGTTCTTCCCATTTTTGTTTGGTTAATGGGTCGACTCTGTTCAAGGCGAGATAAATCAGCAAAGCATTCGAAATTTTTTTACTCCGAATATCTGCCGCTGAATTTTGGAAATGAATAATTCGGAAGTCGAGCACGAGTTGGGGCTAACGAGGCTGAGCGTGGAGCTTCGGTTTCGCTAGCTGTTTTGACGACCGTTACAAGCGAAAGAATTATTGCCTTGGTCACTATTGTTAACTCTTCCAACTCGTCTCCAAACGTATAGCTAGGATCTATCTCCTCTATGCATTCTATCAATTGATTCATTCATCAGGCCTGCATTGCAATTCTTCCGCTTGGATCGGAACCGACAACGAATCTAGGCGTTCTTCCAAGCGACAAATACTTCTAACTCGGCTTTTAAGTTTGTTTTTAAGGTCTTCCAAGACCGTTTTATTCTTCAATTTTTCTGATTCAATTTTTAAAAATCGAATAAAATAACTAATTGAAAGCCTAAACGATGACGAAAAAATAATCAATCAATTTTCGAATCAAAAACAACGACGAAAAAAATAGTTTAATTATTATTTTAAAAAATTACGACGTGAAAAAAAATAATAATTGATTGTCGAGCCCGAGGTATCAAAATTAATAGTGTTTGCAAATTACGCCAAAATCAAATATACCCGACCAATTACAGGATAGCGCGTCACTTGGCGGACCGCTAATCTCCAACACTCCAAAACGGTGGTCAAGCGCAAGCGAAAACGAAATGAGTTCACGGCGGCAGCTGCTTATATGTGTCACTATGGATTGGTCATGAATAGCGTCTGGGATTATTTTACAAACTATTATTTTGCGAGTTCAACGAGAAGAACGAGGGTAAGGGAGATGACAGTGATTGCAATACAAAAAATTAATATTTAACAAATTTAGCATCCAATTGCGGTTCAAATAGGTTATGTGTTTGACGAATGTATGTAGAAGGTAATAATTTTTCAAATTTTGTTTGAAATATTCTGTGCATATGTTGTGTGTGAGTGCAATACTAAAATGTGTTTAATGAATGCAATCTAGCTCTACTAAATAGACATTTTTGTGCCAAGAATTGAAAACGAGGTGTAATTTTTAAGCACAAGACCTTTAGTGTTATATTTAATTTTTTTCTATAACTCAAGCTTTTAACTAAATGCACAAATACCTCAGGCTCTGCGTTCGGATCTTTTAATCCAGCTGACACTTTCCTCATGCAATCAGATCAATGGCAGAGGGGAATCATGCGATCTCATATCCATTTATATTATTATTTAAACGTTAGCAACCAATTTAATGGTTACAAAACGTTGGTAATAATTAGTGAATCATAACATGGTAACATAACAGGAATTAAGGAATATCAAAGTTATTGATTATTTGTTATATCGGCCTTTTAATCAGAGGTCGCCGGTATGCCTTCTTTTAAGTCTTATTCTGGTCCCCGATTTTACCAAGGAAGCTACGTGGTGAATGCTGTGGGTTCGGAACCGCTCGTTATATCAGTTTGAAGGAATGTAAAAATTATTTGTTAGGGCAACGTTCCTCACATACCAAGGTACCCGTTTATGAACTCTTTGCTCACTCATGGCGTTATAGTCAGAGGCTGTGCCCCATTTTTGATACAATAAGTCATGAAAGGCACAATCGTTGGCGATGAAGGCTGCGTCGTCAATAAATAATAAAATTTCCGAATCTGATCTGCACCAAGTGTTGTCAGCACATTAGAGAGGGATTTCGCGAGGGGGTTGAGGTTTTCTAGCCCTTGCTGCTTTCCAGAGGTTAAATCTATATGGCTTGGTATGATCAGCATTGCAAAGCATTTCAGTGAAGAAGTTTTGTGCAGCAGGGTCTCAGGTTTTAACATAGCATGAGGTAGATCAGATGAGTTGATTAAACCTTGTCCACAAGTCGAAACCTTGGAATGTTTGCATTTCGTGTTCTACGTCGGATATGTCGATTGCTGATGGCGAACGTTGACTGTACGGGTAATGCCTGGCCGTCCGGTAGCAAGAACCTGTAAATTAGAGCTAAGTACTGCTTTTTCCTTAGCTGAGGAGTTTCGAGAGCTCGATGGTGAACATTCCAGTCTCCTAGTTATTTAAAAAAGCTTAAAAGTCATCAGTGGGGCGCTGCAAGATTGGAGGGCAGTAAATAGCGGCAATAGCTATTTCAGTCAGTTAATTTTAACTGCGATATATTGAACATGTTGGTATTCCATTCTGACAAATTTATAGTAACGGAGAAAGGAAATTGCAGAAATTGCGTCTGCGAGGACGATCAGCAGGATGATTTGACTGGTAATAGGGGTCATCATAGACAACATCATCTAAAACATCTTGTCAAATTGAGCTACAAGGGCTGACAGTTGTTCATCGGATCGGCTGGGGCTGGCTAATTTCATGGTTCTGGAATTGGGTGGATCCACCCATAACTTTCGCGTAGGAACGCTGTACGATCGTGCCACAGCTTAACCGAATTTAGGTCAGTGGCGAGGCTGCCCACAATGCGAGATAAAAAAGGCGGCCCTCATGGACTCAAGGGCGAGGGAGATGATCTCGGTCTTCCAGAGGGTCAAACCTGGAGCCAAGCTGGTTCCCAAAGATACAAGACAGAAACGAACTCAGAGGCCGATATTAACATGATGAAGAGTCGAAGGAAAGATGTCTCTGACAGTCCTGTAAATAAACCTATTTGATTACATCCTTTCGAGTAAACTCTTGATGCGTAGGAAAGGCAACGAACGCGTCTACTAGCCATAGCCGTACGCATAGACCGTTCTCGGGTACGAATGTATTATGCCCGCGCATCATGATGAAAAGATTCCGTTAACTGCCTTTGTCAGATTTTTAGAATACTCTTCAACATTTAACAGACTTTAATCTTGCATGGTACGTTTAAGTCAGCGATCTCGGTTTCCACCTCGTGAGGGGACGTATCCTTTGCATTAATTAACTCTGAAGCCAATGTAGGCACATACTGCTCCCAGCAGTACCATGGCCTTTTTTTTTAACTAAAACATTAACAGAGATCGTGTTTATGTAGATGAGATTATATGCACATAAACAGCTGAGCAGATGTTCAAAATCAAATAAAATTATTTTCTTTGGATATAATTTCCTAAACAATGATTCGGATTTTCAAAAATGAATTTTCATACATTTTTATCAACTACGGATCACTAACTATGCCTTAAACTTTTACTAATTTAATTTATTTGATTTGAAAAAATTTATGGACGTAGGTTTTTGGAGACATTCTTTTTTTCTTAAAAAGAAATATTTTTTTGATTATTACTCGTAGAGTAAAAATGTATATTACTTCAAAATGTTGCCATCCACACTATAACACAAAATGTTGTTTATTTATACCCTTGCAGAGAGTATTATAATTTCAGTCAGAAGTTTGCAACGCAGTGTAGGAGACATTTCCGACCCTATAAAGTACATATATTCTTGATCAGCATCACTAGGAGAGTCGATCTAGACATGTCTGTCTGTTCTTCTGTCCGTCTGTCCGTCCGTCTGAGCGTCTTTCCGTCCGCCTGTCCGTCCGTCTGTCCGTCCGTTTCTACGCAAACTAGTCTCTCAGTTTTAAAGCTATTTACATGAAACTTTCCCAAAAGTTGTCTTTCTATTGCAGGTAGTTTATAAGTCGGAACGAGCCAGATCGGAAGACTATAGCATATAGCTCCCATAGGAACAATCGAAAAAATAAATAAAAAAAATTTTAACTTTGGTGTTTTTTTTTTTTTGTAAGTTCTTCTAGATAAAGTTTTTTTTTTCTTTTATTTTTTTCTTAGTTCTTCGACATATAGTAATGGTTTAATATTTTCCGGGTTAAATTTCATCGAAATCGAATGATTTTATCATATGGAAACAATTAAAATAAAAATTTTAAAAAAATGTTACTTTCCTATTTTGTTATTATTTTTTTTTTAAAAATTTTGAACTTATTAATAATTTGACAGCTCAGAATTATGCTTTAAATTTTATTAAAATCGGTAAACGATATCATATAGCTGCCATAGGATCTATCGAAGAATTGAGCTGCAAATCATCATAGCTTCAATGTTTATAAGCATATACGCAAGTAAATCATAATTTTAATGTTTTCAAGAATATTTAATTTTTGCAATAGCTGCAAGGGTATATGAACTTCGGCTTGCCGAAGTTTGCTTCCTTTCTTGTTTTTGTTAAGCGCAATGGACAGCTCGATGGACCTAAAATGTATACAGTAAATAAATAATAATTAATTAATGTAAAACAATTATATTTAATCAGCAAAAATTATTATAAAATGTTAAGGAATGACAAAAATTGAAGGACTCTATTTAAGTTTAATTGAAAAGAGCACTCGATGGTTATTTATTGTTAAGGACATTATAACTGTCGCAGAGAAAACGAGTGAATGAAATCGGGAATAGTTTAATCTGCATACCTGTAGTGCTAATGGAGGAATGCTCGATTTTCGGAAACTAATAAGGATTTAACTCGATAATTGATGTTTAAACCTCGGCTTGTCAAAGTTTGCTTCCTTCTCTTACTTTAAAAAGGCGAACAACTTAGCACTTACCGCAACTTCGACACTGGATGGAGGATATATCCGTGTTGAAACTTTGGTACCTTTGCAATTATCAAAGCACCACTGTGAGTATTGCCTAAGTTTCCCATCTAAATTCTTCATACTGTTCTTTATAAATGAAACGAAGTATCTGCAATGGAAAGGATTGAATGTTATTATATTAAAAATGCACAGATTGGCATCATGGATTAATTTTAAAGATTTACACAAGTTTGCGTTATTTGGACCTTGTGTATTAAGCCAAACCCCAGCAGTTTTTTTTTAAGCATTTAATTTTTTTAAACAGCGAAATGTAAAATTCCACAATACCCAATTTGCGGAGTGCATTAATTCTTTGCTTTCATTTGCATAAATCGACTGCTGAGAGTCGTATTACTTTGCCGGGAGCCTTTCTTAGGCAACAATTTCCTACCGTTTTAAAGTGTCAGAATTAATACAAAAGCTAGAATATTGGTTGCCAAATGATTTGCAGCCAAAAGACGTTAAAAAAATGATTTATACTGTCGGAAATGTTACTGGTAAGAAAAAAAGATTCATTACGAAGCATAGGACATTATATGTAATGTCTGGACAACAAGCTAAATCAAATACCGATAGAAACAGGAGAACGCTGAACAACCAGAATATGCGAAGAGATAAGAGTTAATAATTTCTCCATCGCGTTACCATTTGCTTACCACTTGTTTAGATGGATGCAGATTGCCCTTCCCGGAATACGCTTCATTTCAGAAAAAGGTATCTTGGGATCAAAACCCATATGCTTCGAGAAGAATTTTTTGCCACAATATTCGATATCAAATATTTTGGAGGTGTTATTTTGGTATATAAGAAGTTTTTGTTTGAAATATAGTCAAAGTACTCAATGTTAACGATGATTAAAAAAAATTTTTTGGCAATACTTTAGTACTAATTTTAAAGAAAGGAATCAGATTTCGGCAAACCGAAGTTAATATTCCTATACCAAAAATTAAATATTTTTTAAAGCAACAATCTTGCGATTTTAATGATTTCGGTTTTACTTGCAGCTATTTGATATCGTTGTCCGATTTTAATAAAATTAGAACCGTAGTTTTGAAACAATAAACCCTTAATTTGTATTGAAGTATATTTAAATAAATCAAAACACGGCAGAGTTATGATTTCTTCATTTATTTTCACGATTGTTCCCATGGGAGCTATATGTATAAGTATTAAACAGACAGATATGGCTTGATCGTTTTTCATAGTAATGGTGTCGAGAATGTGTACTTCTGACTGGAATTATATATATGTATATATATATGTATATATATATGTTAACACTGTTAAGGAGTAATCATAAGTCGATACAGATCTTGGGTGATTATTGGATCACCCTAGTGTTTAGTTGCAAAATCAGCATAAACATCTTTAGGGGCCGTGACTGGTTCTTGGCGGTGCACGGTATGGTGAGTTATGTTGATTTTGCTAGTGTCAGCACTTTGCTGCACGAGCGGTCGGCTTGCCGGCCGCGCATAGCTTACGTAAAGTCATATATGTTTTCAGTTTTAATTTGGACATTTAATAAAGAGCATTGGCTTGAATGTAAAACTCCGGCAATGGCCGTCAACATTTATTCTATTAATTGAAATTGGTTACCGAGCCTTAAGGGCCGTTAGCAACGGAGTCAGTTACTCCCAACGTAGTCTTCGTAAGAAGAGAGAAGAGAGCCATTGGCAACCGCCCGGCACATTCATATGAGCAGCCAGCCACGGTGGCAATTACGTCTTCACCCCTTCCCCCGGACCAGCAACTCTTCACTCTCACGGACAGCGGCGAGGGACAGTGCGAGGCTGCACATTTAAAACATAATTGGCACCCAACTTTAATACCGAATCCGCGACACAAAAATATGTAAGTGGGCTGATCAAAATTAATACAGTAAAACTTCAAATACACATACAAGGAAAAATAAATAAAAATCCCTACAAACTATTTACCCAAAATTAAAAAATATACAGTTTGAATAAAGCAATTGTAAAGGTGACTTAAAAATAAAGTGAATTAATATCGGTCGTCCCTAAATAAAATTTTCCTTCGGAAGCCAAGCACCCAGTTATTAATATAAAATTATAATATACAAAATTAATTTGTCGAATTAAAACATTCGGCCTCCCAATAACGTGAGTTTAGTGTCAACAAATTAGTCGCCTTATGAGTTTTCCAGGCCCATATAGGGAAACTAAACATGAACTTGACAGTGACAGTGAAGAAGAATTAATCCGGGATACCCGGAGATATCAACCAGCACGGGCACAACAATAAAGTAACGCGGAAACCATGAACGCGACACAAATAAAGGCGTTAATTCAGGCCGCATTAACTAGCCAAGAACAGAGGCTCAGAGCCGAATTCGCGGGTCAGATCAACGCCGTTAACCAACAACTTCAGAGCTTGCGTATAGAAGCGCCAGAGGTAGAATCTTACCAGAGGGTAAAGGTAGTACCGGGAGCACTACAATGCGATATACCATTACATATAGGGAAGTCGATTCCAGATTTTACTGACATACAAGATGAGTACGTGGCATGGAGGCAATCCGCCACTGATGCCTACGAATTATTCGAGTCTTATGAGTCCAGTTCCGCGCATTACCAAGCGGTTACTATTATTAGAAATAAAATTAAGGGACCAGCGCGCGCACTGCTAGTTTCTTATAATACAGTGCTTAATTTTAAAGCCATACTAGCTAGATTAGACTGCTTCTACGCAGATAAAACATCTCTGCGCCTATTACGGCAGGGACTTGAGTCGGTCCGTCAGGGCGACCAAACACTTATGCAGTACTACGATGAAGTCGAACAAAAATTGACCCTCGTTACAAACAAAATTGTCATGACACATGACGACGAAAGGGCTGCATTACTCAATACAGAAGTTAGGGCTGACGCCCTACACGTATTCATTTCCGGTCTAAAAAAAACACTAAGGGCTGTTGTATTTCCAGCACAGCCAAAAGACCTGCCAGCAGCACTGGCATTAGCTAGAGAGGCAGAGGCCAATATCGAACGAAGTATGTTCGCGGCCACATATGCCAAAGTAGCTGAGAAAAGAAATCAGAATACTGATTTTCACAAGGGCCAGCACCGAGCGCCCGAGAAACAAGGGAAAAATACTGGTGCCGACCGCGGACCAGAAAAAAATCCACATTTCTTTAAAAAGCCGAACAAGTATCAGAACAACGATACATGGCATAAACGGGACAACTGTGTAGATCAAGGTAAGCAAAATCAGTCCCTGGAACCTATGGACATTGATCCATCATCTTCTAAAGTCCGACATCCTACGGGTTTTAAACAGGGAAACAACAATCAATACCAAAATTTGCAGAACCTAAAAAGACCAAACTCTTCGGAGAGAATGACTGGCCAAAGGCGCCAGCGGGTTAACAACGTTGAGCAAACTTCAAGCGCGTGAGAAACTCAAGATTATGAAAGCGCGGCCACAGCCGCACTAAATGCAATTGACGATGACAGTGACTCATTTGATGGTAACGACCTCGTCAATTTTTTAGAGGAAGGTCCCGCTTGCCCTTCATTGAGCGAGGGCTGGCGGGGAAAACTATAAGAATCCTAATAGACACTGGAGCGGCAAAGAGTTATGTAAAGCCTTTAAAGGAGCTAAAGAACATAATGCCTGTCGACTCCCCTTTCACTGTGAGTTCCATTCATGGCTCCAGTAATATTAAAGAAAAATGCTTTTTGCGCATATTCGGCCTAAAGGCTCAATTTTTTTTACTCGATACTATCAACACTTTTGATGCCATAATAGGTTTCGACTTGCTAACGCAGGCGGGAGCGGCATTAGATTTACATAACAGTGTAATCAGGTATGGAAACATATCTGAGAAACTCAAACACCACGAATGCGATAACGTGAATTTCACAAATATCGATGACTTAGTAGTCCCAAATTCAGTGCAAGCAGCATTTAAAAAAATGATCCTTAAGAGGAAACAAGTGTTTTCGCACTCTAACGAGGCGCTACCTTCTAACACCTCGATCATCGCCACAATTCGTACAGAAACTAGCGAACCAATATATTCCAAACTATATCCTTACCCCATGGGAGCAGCAGATTTCGTTAACACCGAAATCAAACAGCTGTTAAAGGATGGCATTATCCGGCCTTCTAGGTCGCCATTTAACAGCCCAACATGGGTTGTAGACAAAAAGGGACTTGATGTAGATGGCAACAAGAAAAAACGGCTGCTGATCGATTTCAGGAAACTGAATGAACGAACCATCGCCGACCGTTACCCTATGCCAAGTATTCCTATGATTTTAGCGAACCTAGGAAAGGCAAAATATTTTACTACCCTAGACTTAAAACCGGGGTGCCACCAGATCTATCTGGCAGAAAAAGACCGTGAAAAAACTGCTTTCTCCATAAACGGAGGAAAGTATGAATTTTGCCGTCTACCCTTTGCACTGAAAAATGCGGGAAGCATCTTTCAAAGGACGATCGACGACGTTCTACGTGAACAGATCGGGAAAATTTGTTACGTTTATGTAGACGATGTGATAATTTTCTCCGAAAACGCTGCTGACCACGTTATACACATTGACACAGTTCTTAAATGCCTGTGCGAAGCCAACATGAGAGTGGCACCGGAAAAAACCAAATTCTTCAAAGAAAGTGTAGAATTTTTAGGTTTCATTGTTACATCAAACGGAGCCAAAACGGACCCGGAAAAGATAAAAACCATTCAGGAGTACACCGAACCAAAAAATTTATTCAGCCTCAGGTCTTTTCTAGGGTTGGCCAGCTACTACAGAAGTTTTGTCAAGGACTTTGCTACCATAGCTAGACCACTTACCTCCATACTTAAGGGAGAGAATGGCACGGTTAATAAACACATGTCAAAAAAGGTGGCTATCGAATTCGATGAGTCCCAACGCAGAACGTTCGAGCGCCTGCGAGACATTTTGTCGTCAGAAGATGTGATATTAACATATCCAGATTTCAAACTTCCTTTCGATTTGACCACCGATGCCTCAGCAAGTGGTATCGGCGCGGTACTGTCCCAAAAAGGCAGGCCAATCACAATGATATCTCGTACGTTGAAAGACTGTGAACTCAATTACGCAACCAACGAAAGAGAATTATTGG